CAGCTCATAGCAACGACAACACAGAACCTCAAAACCAACACAGCATGAAAATAGTTGAATTCATAAGGCTTCAACTAATACATATTTCTCATATTGATATTAATCTGCATCATTCTTTGCTTAAAACATCAGAGAATAGTGTTTACACATGCCCTTTAATATTCAACTAACAATCAAACTTAGATCCTCCAATATCTGTCTTTATGGGACCAGAAACCAAAAATAGTCCTGCTGCCTAAAGCAAAGAAAATCTGCTTATCTTCGTATGTGAGAAGCTTAGTTTAGGTCGTGTTTTTCCGCCTATGTGCCTGCGGTAATAGTGGCCATCATTTTTTTAGTGTGTCTGAACAAGGGATCTCTTAACTGCTCTTTCTTCAAATACAACAAACTTTGACTGAACTGATTTTGGTCACTGTGGCAAAACACATTTTTTGCCATAACTCAAGAAAAATACCTTCACACAGATGCATTACAGGCTGAAACAAATGCAGTGAGGATATTTTGTTACCAAAAATCAAGTCTGGGCAGACATGACAGAGGCAGCAACCATGAGGTGGTTGTTCTAACTTTAGTATTGAAAATGAAACGTTTCTTCGTCAAGGCAGTGGCCCAGTCATTTTCTGTTGGTTGTATAATTATTAAATTATTGTTTAAGCTTCACATTTGTATGTATCAGCAGCACAAACTTGGAACATTTTTCTTGTACAGTTACTCAGCAGACCAGAACACACAAGAAGCAGCCTACTTCATATCTTTGTTTCTATTAGCTGAAGCAAACCAGTCAGATATTATAACAAAACCACAGAGGAAATTGTTTTCTAAATCCATTGTTCTGGATAAAATCCTTTGCTTTTCCAATTATGGAAACTGCATGCTGGCATTGCAGTTTGTAATCGCACTGATGTTCTTCCTCCTCTTCTCTTTTCTATCTGGGCTGAATCTTCCATTGCAGTTTGAAATCAGTGTATCCCTGATTTCTGAGCATGGCACCAAACTGAGGAGAAATAAAACAAATACACATCNGCCCTGTGATAGACTGGTTACCTGTCCAGGTGAACCTGCCTTCACCCTGAGTCAGCTGGGATAGACTCCAGCCCCCCCACCACCCTACTGAGGATTAAGCGGTGTAGAGATGATGGATGGATGGATGTTTCTGTGTCCCATTTCCAATTACAGTCCAATTAAAGTCACCATGCTCGTTGGCATGCCACTGTTCTGAGTTTCTTTGTGTGCTGTGAGCAGATCACGTTGGAGTTTGAGCTGATCAATGTTGAATAACGCTCACCTTGATCAAAACTACTGCAACGCAGAGAACAGACACTGATTGAGTCTGTTCACGGATTGGTTCACTAGCCTAACCCCTGATCACCTACAGATGAGATGTGTTTTAATATCCATGCTAAGTCCAGCAAAAACATTTCCACACTTTGTAACACTCACCAATAAGCCAGCCATCTTCAACAGCCGAGCAGTCATGACTCTTATCAAAGAAGTCAATCACAATAATTATTTGAAAACCACCAGGATAGCAGACCAAAATCCACCCTAGAATGAGTGAAATTAGCTTTACTATAGTTTTAGATTTGGTCCAGAGTTTTTATAGTAGCTGCTAGCAGTAGTCTTGTAGAGATATGACTTACAAATAATCAATGTTAATAAATTTTTCTGGGGTTACTGAAAAAATGTATGATAAGTTTTAACCAGTAAGCTTTTCAAAAGTTTAAATTCCACAGTGTAAAACTACAATGGAAAACTGAATTAATGGTATATTTATTCTAACAGCATTAAAGGCAAAAAAGGTCCATTTCAGTGCCACTACTATGACTAATAGAAATAATAGTGATGATTATAGTTATGATTTTGATCACAGACAAATGTTAATCTAAGACATACGTGTATAAAACCTGTCAATACTTGAACTCTTGTAAAGCGACCATATCTACAAAGAAAAACGTGCTGTCTCCCTGTGTCATGAGCTGTGTTGCATAATCTTTGCATCCTTATATTTAAATATTCAAATGGCCAGTCTGACAAGGTCACCTTGGTCTGCGCCATGTTTGTTCATCACGTGTTTTGTCACATTATTGGAATCTAGGGTGCCTGGAAAAATGTAAAAGAACACGTGCAGATACCTACAGACACACTGCTTGATACTGGCAATATTTTAACCAGCCTTTAAAAATAAAAGTCAATTCCCATGCACACACATATCACACCTCTGCATTGATCTATTATACAGTTCATGTTGCAGTCACTAGAAGCTGAGAGTGTTTAAATACAAAAAGCAAACGACATCTCCAGTCCAAGGCAGCTTTATTTGTATAGCACAATTTGTTCCCGAGGTAATTCAAAGTGCTTCACACAAAAGTACAAGAAGGCAGATAAAATCAGTCCACAGAAACATAAACACGATTATTAATTAATTACATTAAAAGCAATGAGGCAGATAAAATCAATCCATAAAAACATAAATAAAATCATTAATTAGAAGAGTCCACTCCGCCCTCCTAATTTAGCAGCATATTTTACCACAGGGTCAGTCCAGGTCCATTCAGACAGAATTTAGGAAATATGTTGCTCTCATTCGTTACTCAGTCGTTATTTGAGACCCAAAATTAAGTTCTGTAAAATGTTTTGGCTAAATTTGGGGAATACTGTGTTTTTAGACCTGGAAAGTTTTGTAATTCTACCCTCAAAAAATTCTTCCTGGGAAGCACACAGCCATGAAACTTAGCCAAGAGGCAGGTGAAATAGTCTCCAGGAAAAACGATTGATTGAAAGGCTCCAGGGGCCGCAAGGTGGCTTGGATCTTTCTGCATGGAGTCTCCATGTTCTCCCCGTGCAGTGTGGGTTCTCTCCGGGTTCTCCGGCTTCCTCCCACAGTCCACAAACATGCTGAGGTTAATTGGTGATTGTAAATTGTCTGTAATGTGAGT